GGGGGGGGGGGGGGATACTCTCATCTTGCATGTCTTAGACCATTGACCACGCGTCCATGAGAGGACGGAGCATGAGGCACTCAACGCAAGCCGTGGTCGGTAGACCATCAATATTGAAACAGCTTAACAATGCCGCTTGTGCCAAGAGATTGCACTCGTCCCGACCAGCCCGCCCCATATGTTGAAGGAGCCCGGTTGCTGTGTCGTTTCGAAAAGAAGTTCACGAACACTTGCTTGCCGATATTGTCGGTTCCGTCCTATTTCCCTCGATCGGGCATCGCATGCGAAGGCCTACGCGGACTACCACGACATGATGGAGCTCACGGAGAAGCTTGTGGCCGGCGCCGCCTCCGAAGTGCTGGGCACGACGGCTGTGTCGGGCGGGGAAGAGGAGGGGGCTCCGCCGGATGTGGACCTGAAGGCTCCGTGGAGAAGAGTGACGATGAACGACCTCGTTAAGGAAAAGATAGGTGCGGGTCTTGGAGTTGGATCGATGTCACGCATCACCGCCACCGACAAGAAGAATGTACTCGGTGGTTTTCTTGATTTTCTTCCCGAGGTTGGCTTCTCACGCAGCAGCAGCAGCAGCAGCAGCAGCGACAAATACTCTTAGGTTGATCTACCTGTCCTGGAGCATGAAGGCCTTTTTTCGGCAGCACAATTGCGGAAGACGTCAATTGTACCAGGGTTCTTTCTGTCCAGACCAATTTCGTGTTTCCCCGGCCAATGATTATGCTTCGACATTTCTATCTTCCATAATCGGATCACAGCAACACAAGTACGACACATTTCCACGCCGTCGCTGTAGTCGAGCTTTGAAAATTGGTCAAGGCGGTGTGTTATCTTGTGTCGTATGCGGTACCTCGTGCAACCTACGGTAGTCGCAAGCTTGAGCCGCTTTGGTCGTAAGCGATGTACTGGCGCGGACACCTCCGACCCCGCGCCTGTTGCGGTGCCCTTAGCCTACCGGTGCTACTGGTTGCAACCCAGCTGAAACCATGTTCTTGTGCTGATCTTGCGCCAGTCACAGTGCTGTATTGAAACGTTGGGTCAGTTTGTTTCGCTGCGTGTATGTTTGCGGAAATTATATGCTTCTTCCCTACCACTATTATTATTATCGTACAAGACTTCAACCCGTTGGAGATATAGCCACAGTTTTTTCCCTACCCATTGTTATTTATTATTTTTTTTCCATAAAGAGCACGACAAATCCATCTATCGCTATCAATAGAAAAGAGTCTACCGTAGATTAGCGATGAATTGGTAGCGATATTTCTACGGCTCCCCGAGCAGCAAATAGCGATATCTTCCCTGTGGGTAACAGGCTCGACAAGGCCGTCTGGTGGACTTCTTGTGTATCTATCCAACTATATGATGCTGGGGAGGCAGGTGTCTGTTAATTGTTTTTTAAGGAGTGGGGTCTCTTCTTTTTTGTTTATTCTTTTTAGGGAGACACAACAGGGTATACCCTGGTCGAAAAGCGACACACCTGGGTATACAGTCATTAACTGAACCGCAGGAGGGGGTCCAGCCCCCCCCTCCTATGTGACCCCGGTTGGGTCGTCTAGCTAGTAGAAGTGGAGGATAGGGGCCAGAGTCGCAGACGACAGAATCCGATGATGGGAGAAAAAAAAAAGTCATCAACTGCAGTAAATGCACTCATTTCATTGGTCAGCGCCCAATTTCACCCCGGTGCGTCCGAAAAGGCGCAGGGTACACGCTGCCGTGACTACTTTCCTCAACAACTATACCCTTTTTTCGGAAATGTACCCTGACCGGACGGGATACGACCCTTTCATCAAACATTTCCCCCGCAGGAATCTTCCCAACTCCTTTTCCCCTCCAACCATGGGATTGTTGTTGTTTGTTGTTTTTCTTCACATTAACTCGTGTCAGTTGCTAATCCCAAAATCTAGCAATGACTCGGTCCGTGGTCACAAAAATGCTAGAGCCATCAGAAGATCTGAAGAACACACACACTGTTAGCAAGGAAAGGGTACGCAATCCCGAGGAGGTACACCTGCAATCCCTGCAGCACGTTTGCGTGCTCACAACTGAACTACACGCCCACACACTACTACGCCCAGGTTGTCTAGTGGGTAGCCTCGCAGCCTGCTAAGGGCCAGGTCATGGGTTCGAGTCCCGACAGAGATAGTTTCTTTCTCACTAAATATATCCTGGTCTAGGATGAGCGCGACGCGCTGCAAAGCTCGTTTGTTAGTAAACCATAATCGACTTCGTAAGTCGCGAGGGAAGGGATTGCTGTACCCTTCTCGCGATAAAAATACCTCAGGCATGAACCGCAGGAGGGGGTCCAACCCCCCCCTCCTATGTGACCCCGGTTGGGTCGTCTAGCTAGTAGAAGTGGAGGATAGGGGCCAGAGGGGCAGACGACAGAGTCCGATGATGGGAGAAAAACAACAACAACAACAACAACAACTACATATCGACTTCAGCAGCAGCATCACCCCCCTTGTCCCGCATTCAACCAAAATGAATGTTTGTCGACTACAGCGTACTGCTGCCTGAAATGCTGTCTGTACAAAAATAACACCATGGTGCATGGTACACAAGCTCGGGGCATGCAGCTGCTGTCTGAAGTGCTGTCAGAGTGAGTCCGTGGACATACAACAAAGAAGAACAGCCACTCAAAGCCATCATTGCAACAATTGACAATCATGCGAATCTATCCAGATCATCTATCTGTGTTAGGCACAGCAGCGTAAACATCGACACTGACTAGGAATCGTTCCACATTGAAGGGGTCTTCCACGATGCAGGTACACAATTAAGGCACCCGGGTTATCCGCGCCATCTCTGCCGCCTCTCTCTACAAAACCAGTGACGTCATCACACACACCCAACACCTGTATTCAGGAAAAAAAAGCGGAAAAATAATTGACCACACAAGAGATGTTTGTCCGTGCGCCACGGTTCGATGCCGTCCGCATGCTCCGGTGCCGCTGCTCCGGTGCCGCTGTGGCCAGTCCTAGCACAACCAAACTCGACCCGCTCCGCTTCGTACACGCTCTCGTTGCTGTCCTTCCCAGTCGATTTCTCGCTTTCTCCCTCGTTGCACTTATGGTTATTGGTCTGGAAATTCTCGCGCCAAAGGGTCAACCAGCCCAATCAGCTCGTCACCACCTGTCCCATCCTCCTCTGATGGCAAAACCAGGTTACTGAAACAGTACAGCTCCCTCTAGCAAACCTAGGGCCNGCGCCGCAGGAAGAAGGTATGGGTCCCTTGAGGGTGAGTCTAGCCCTGCTCGCTAGAAAGACCCCCCCCTCGCTATGGGTCATGCCTACGCAAAACCTTGCCGAGGCAGCGAGGGGAAGAAAGGAAGTACACCAAACGTCGAGTCTTCCCGCCCAGTAACAACCATGGCAACGGGGCAGTAATCAGTTTCTGCCCCTGCGAAACAGCACCAACCATCAACTCTTCTGCTCTAGGTCTACAATGGCCGGGCAATATCCCAGCACAATTGATCCGCTTGGAAACATGCACACACGCGTGCAATACCTCATGGACTACTGCTTGCTGTAGTCTGTATGAGACGCACGGGTCACGCTGTGAAAGCGAGACCGATCCAGCATGGTTGGCATGCATATGCATGTGTGCGTGCGTGTGTTGTCTGATGTGTCTCAATTGCGATGTGCCGTGTGTGCGTCGTGCATGTGTTGTTTGTTTTGTGTGTCAATTGCGATGTGTTTCTTGCTTGAACTTCTGCTGTAGCAGCAGCGGTCACGCTTACCAGCCAACCAAGCCGACCAATCAAATCAATAAATGTAGTAAGAAAACGTCAGACTTCGGCGGGATGAGCCGATGAAATATAACGCGAGCTCTCCCTTACTTCTCTCAATCGACAGGGAGGGTGATTAAGTTGGACAACACAGCAGTATCCTGCTGCTAGAGTAAGGATAAGACTCGTGTGTGCGTGATTGATGTCAAGGGCGTGTCTGTGTGTGCTGGTCCCGCCTCTCCCCTCCGGCCCTCTCTGCGGGCGCGAGCTCGTCGTCAGCACAGCGCCACACATTGGCACATGCTATGCATGTCAACCATGCTGGATCGGTCTCGCTTTCACAGCGTGACCCGTGCGTCTCATACAGACTACAGCAAGCAGTCGTCCATGGGGTATTGTACGCGTGTGTGCATGTTTCCAAGCGGATCAATTGTGCCGGGGTATTGCCTGGCCATTGTAGACTTAGAGCGGAAGAGTTGACGGTTGGTGCTGTTTCGCAGGGGCAGAAACTGATTCCTGCCCCGTTGCCATGGTTGTTATTGGACGGGAAGATTCGACGTTTGGTATCCCATGGTTGGAGGGGAAAAGGAGTTGGGAAGATTCCTGCGGGGGAAATGATTGATGAAAGGGTCTCATTTCCCGTCAGGTCAGGGTACATTTCCGAAAAAAGGGTAAAATTGTTGAGAAAAGTAGTCACGGCAGGGTATACCCTGGGCCCTGTCGGACGTACCGGGGTGGAATTGGGCGCTGACCAATGATATGAGTGTATTTACTGCTGTTAATGACTGTGTACCCAGGTGTGTCGCTTTTCGACCAGGGTATATACCCTGTCGTGTCGTTTGCCCTTGTTTTTTCCCGACCCTTATCTTCGTTTATTTTGTCCTTTTTTTGCTTTCTTTCTTTTTGTCACGGCTGGACTTCAAGGCGAGAGAACAGTTTTTTTTCCTCAACCCATTTTTTTTGTTTTTGTCTTTCTTTTTTCATCAGGCCTGGATTTCGAGGCTCTGGATATGTCCGACCCCGCTGCGGCCCTCGCCATAGCCAGAGAGGCTGCCCTGAAAGCCGGCGTCCACAAGGCAGCCGGCTTGGAAACCCCGGGGTACATCTTGAACGAGTGTTTCGAGGAGCTCTGCGAGGCAGACCTGATTCAGCCAACCATTGTCATGGACCACCCCATCGAGGTATACATTCGCATCCGCGTCGCCCCCGTAGTGCATTATTCTTTTTTTTTTTAAGCATGCGCCTTTTTTCTTTTGGCCACGAGACGTTTTTGTAAGCCCTGCATTATTTGCTGTGCAGGCTTGGGGCAATATTTTGTGGTTGGATGCGTGCGGGGCTGGCGGTGATTAAAAATAAAAAAAGGGGGTGCGTTTTCCCTGGCGGAATGTTTCTTGTCGTGAACAGCAGATGTTCGTAGCCTGAAGGCAATGGTGACGTTTGGTTGCTGCGGCTGTTGCGTTTCGTGAATGTCTGTCGGAACATGGATTGATGCTGCTGTGTTGTTCCTCTGTTTGGATTGTTTTCCGCCCCACGAAGCTGTCTCTTGCAGTGGCCATAATCCTTGCGACGGTCCTGTCGTGCAATACGAGTGCTGGCCGCTGCTGCTGCTGCTGCTGCTGCTGCTGCTGCTGCTGCTGCTGTTGCTATTGCTACGACTGTTGTTGTTATTGTCATTGCTTCTGCATTTGCCTCTGGTGCTGTTGCCGTTGCTGGCGCGACTGCTGCTGCTGCTGCTTCACCTGCTGCCGCGACTGCCAATAATGCTTTTATTTCTCGTGCATTCGATTGCCACCGCCGCCGCCGCCGCCGCTGCTGCTGCTGCTGCTGCCGCCGCTCCCGTCGTTGTCGACGTGGTATCTAATCCACGAACAGGTGAGCCCGCTCGCGAAGCCTCACCGCTCCAAAGCCGGATACACGGAACGCTTCGAGGTGTTCGTGCAGGGAAGGGAAATGGCCAACGCCTTCAGCGAGCTCACCGACCCGGTCGACCAGCGCAACCGCTTCGAGCTGCAGGCCGCTAAGAAGGTAGTTGGGGTTTGCATAAACCTAGGGAGGCGAACAAAGCTCGTGTTTTCTTTTTTGGTTGTGCAACGTGGAGATACAGGTGGCGATGTTGACTGCTGGTGGCCAGGCGAATTTATCTCGTCTTTATGCTTTTTTTTTTTTCTGGGGGGCCTTCTCAAGGTGGTTTTTTATGTTGTTGGTGTTGGGGATGGCTTGAGTTGAAAGATGCGCGACCAACGTACGTGCTTTGCTTGAGTTGAAAGAACGCTTGACCAATGTTCGTGCTTTGGTCCCGCACTCGGATGTATCCTTATCCTTGGCCGCCATTGCTGCTTGCTTGGTTTACTGGTGTTATCGACGCATCGATGGCACTGCTGCGATGTAGGTGGTCAGCATCTTTTGAATCCCGACTGCTTCAAGTTGTTGTCCATCCCTCTTGAATCCGTACTGCTTCATGTGGCCATCCACCTCATAATGACCTTGTGCTTGTCGACTCCCATACCGGTTGATCGCTCTCGCCCGACGTTTTCCCATCAAATCCGGAGGCTTTCCCAAATGGAGCAGCAGATAATATTCTTATCCCACCAGACAAATACCTCGACCCCGCCCCCCCTCCTATCCGCTGAACCCCCCTCGCCAATGACAATCACCAACTGTGGCTTATAATCAAGCACGTGCGTCCGCGATCGAACAGGCTGCGGGAGACGAGGAAGCCTGCGACGTTGACGACGATTTTCTTGATGCTCTGGAGCGCGGCATGCCCCCGACGGCTGGGCTCGGGATTGGCATTGACCGCCTCATCATGCTCTTGGCAGGTGAGCTTTTTTTTTTGTACGCAAACATAACATGTTTCGCCTCTTCCGCAGAGGAGTTGTTTGTTCTATATTCGTGCCGCGGTGTGCCTGTTTAGCGACAACCCCTAGTGTCAGGAGGAAGTGTGGTCGGTCGCTGTTCAGAGCAGGTCGTTGTCGCCGGTATACAGTAGCGGCGATTGGTCGGGGTGCCGTTGTGCCACCCGACTTTGTGAATGCATTACAGGGTATGTCGCTAGACAGCGGGTCGTTAAACCGGGGGCCCACCGCTGTACTTGAGTGTCTCCCCTGATTTTGATTACCGCGTGTTGACCGCGTTTGCGTACGAACCAAGGACCACCACCATCACCATCATCATCATGATGGCGTTTCGGCTTGTAAGCAATTGTGCGGTATTTTGTAGGGGGTGCGGTATCTTGTATCGCCCTTTTTTTGCCTCTTAGTATTTTGTTTGGGTTGGGTGTTGGCCCGTAAATTGTCACCCTTGTTTTTGCGTGGCGTAATCGTGTGTGCGGTGGGGGTGTTATCTTTTCTCGTACGAAACGGAACTTTGTTGGCTACCCTAACGCAATACGGCACCACACGGTTATTTTTCTTGCTCTGAAGCTAGATTAGGACCGCCTCTCAAGGATTTTTTTGTTTCCCCCTCCCTGGCCTGGCAACAAAAACCTCCCTCTAGTCCGTTTCCTTTGAGTGCGCGGGGCTGGCTCCTCTCGGCTGTATTTGACACGCCATGGCCACCGTCGTTTCCATGCCACTTTCTTTCTTCTGTTTTTGTGCTTTGTAATCTGTTGCGATATTGCGTCCCCAAAACTGGACAGTTTCAAAGTCCACAAAATGCACGCAACAGTAAGTGTGAAGCATGGATATTGTTGTGGCTTGATACTATATCCTCAAAGCCAAAAACAAAAAAGAATCTGCAAAAAAAAAAAAATGAATCAAGCACCACTTTTCTTGTTTGTTGGGAGTTGTCTTCGTTCTCTGCGCTTGTTTGGTTGAATTGGCTGGCTGCTGGTGAAGTGCCCGCTTGCTTGTTCGGCTCGCTCCGCGCTGACGATGTGGCCTCTCCACTCCTCTTTTAACGTTCCCTTCTCGTACCCTTTGCTCGCCGGGGTTTCGACGTTGCACCTCCCGCGGCCGTGTCTCGTGTTGGGTGGCAGGGGCGACGTCCATCCGAGACGTGATCGCTTTCCCCCTGCTGAGAGCTGACAACAGCGAAGGTGCAGCAGCGGCTGCGGCGGCGGCGGAGAAGGCTTGATTGTTTTCATTGCGTTAGCGCTAGGCTCTCCTTGGCACTGCTGTCGGGGGATGATCGACCTGGGAGGTGTTGCAACCAAGAGCGGGAAACTGTCGTATCTACCGTACGTCCTGACACAAGCGCACAAGGGGGAACTTAATGTGGTTTAGGCCATCATATCAAGGCTAGAGCCACGATATGATACACTAGTTGTCAAGAGGGTTAAGTAACGCCGACTAAAGGATTTCGCCATTTTGTGTTAGGATGCGTGTAAGGTGTAGGGTCTGAGCATTTTGCTTCAGAGAGATCGCGACAGGCTGTATTTTGAACTCTGACCTGGCACTACATGATCGCAGGTCGATATGCAGACCATGCTTTGTTTTGTGTTACTACGTTCAACACAGGTGAGTGAGGATAGGATTCATCTCTGCTTTGGAGAACGGAATGTAGGCAGCTACTGGCTGTATTCATTTTGCGGTTCACCTACGCCCAAAGAGCAACTAAATACCGTATATGACACAAGATAACACCCCCCTTGACCGTTTTTCGAAGCTCGATTTCTCAACTGCCGGAACAGTCACAGCGCCGAAAACGGCGGCGTTGAAACCGTCTCGTCGAGAGCTTTTCGAAAATGTATCGTTTCGTTTATGCATCCTCTTGGTCGTGGAGAAATCGAGCTGTGAAAATCGGTCCAGGGGTTAGGTTATCTTGTGTCATATATGGTATATATATCGTCTCGTAGCAAAAGAAGCGAACGTACACAAGTAAGGGTCCTCGGCGGTATTCAACTCCTCTGGACGCTGGTGGTGTACACTTAGGCCAGTTGTTCGTGATACAAGTGGTCGCCGCCCTCCTCCCGGCCCCTCTTTTTCTTTACTTTTTCTTGGGGTGTCATTTTTTCCCCTTCCGTTACAGTGGCGGCCCCTCAGAGCCGCCGGTATGTGCCGGACAGATGCACCAGTTTCTCCTGCCAGGCACCGGGCACCATCTAGTCAGAGGATGAGGAGACAACTTGAAGAACACATCAATTTGGGAAGCCGCCGAGGCACACGGCACTCAATCTAGTAGTCAGAGGACGAGGAGACACCTTTGTTGATAGCTAAGGTTCCATCGGTGCCACGCCATTTTCACCGGCGCAGTATTCCGGGCGGTGGCACAATTCAACCGGCACTCTTGAGGGACCGCTACCGTGCTCGACCAGTATAGTCTGATGCCAATTTTTCACAACGTTCTCTTGATAAGAAGCGCTTTGCAAGTAAGTTAGGCCGCACTCCCTTAAAAGACAAGACTAACCAAAAACGTGACGCGCTTGCATGTGGTATGCACGCCGTAGGCAGAAAATCGGAAGCACCAACCAACCACGAACACACATCACACAGCACCCGAGTACGCTCGTCTCAAACCGAAGCACTCTGGGAGATGATGGTGATGAATTCGTCATCGGCACCAACCGCCGCGTTTATTGGCTCAACGACAAAGCTCGTGTTTATTCGTCCTACACCCCCTTCTCGCGTTTTCCAGAGCTGGTCTTGTCGGGCTCGCTGTGTTTCACCCGCACAACGGCTGCAGATTTTCACTGCTGTTGTCGAGAGTCCAGAGAGGTCGTAACAACTGGAAAACCTTTGGCGCCTGATGCCGCAGCGTGCGTTTGGATGCTTGTCCCGCCTAAAGGCGAAGCACTAACTGGCGAACACCAACCATACACAGCATGACTTGTACCCTTCCTTCACAGGTACCAAATAGCTCTAGGCTATGCCCGCTAGCAAGAAACGAGACCAACGGGAGGCGAGAGTCATGCACAAAACTCTTGGTACGTACAATTACTACGCGACAATCCTGATCGGATAGAAAATAGAAACGAAAAGATAACTCAATAAACGCTATATAGCTATCTACGTAGATTACGCTTCCCCTAATCGCTGTTCTCTACTCTCCCCCGCGTGCTCGGCAGCAAAACGACACACCTCGCGAAAAATATTACTTGGTGCGGCTGATAGACTATAGTAGCCCTGAAATTAAACGTAGAAATACAGTGTAAGTGAAACATGCAATATGCATACACAACATGTTGAATTTCATCATTATCACGACTGACTCGAGTATCCTGGAATTTTTTCTCTCTTCCTTCCCTACGGAGAGACATTGTTGAAAATTGTTCTTATTCTCAGAAGCAACTACAAGGTTCGAGGCGAGGGGCACAGTCATCTGTGCTGGGCCGCGCAATCCGCGGGGGCCCCTCCCTGCCACCACACCAGGGTTAAAGTTTCCGACAGGCGAACCATGTCTCTATTCGGGAGCGGGCCCATATTCATAAACACTGGCCGCCGCCCCTCTTGCCCCGCGGATCTTACAGACGACACTTACTCACTCCTGATACTGTTGAGGGCCTACCGCAATACAACGCTACCTAGGCAGCACACAGCAGTGACGGCGGCATTTAAAACTCATAAAACACGTAGATATGTCAGACGCACGCACGCACGCACGCACGCACGCAGGTTAGACCCCTGCCGCCATGCGGCAACCCTATCAATTCCGTCCCCTCAAATATAGCAAAAAACGAAGGCAGAGAAACACACATTTTCTCAATCAATTACACACCACAGCTAAAAAATCTAATCCAGAAAAGTGTGTGCGCTCGCTTCGAATCGTAAAGGCCTCTCCTCTGAAGCTCCCCTTTCCCTTGACAATAAACACACCCGGAAAAACACGGCTGGACAGAACATGGGACAAAAAAAACAGTCACGGTGCCCTCCCCCTCCTCTCCTCCTTCCCTACCCCCCCCCCTCCTTGTTC